GCTCACAACCCCAGCCACTCTCCGGGAGAAGAGTTTGAACCTGCGGAGCTGCTGGGAGAGGAGGGGGAACGGACTGAAGAGAAAGAGGAGGGGGTAGGGAAAGCACTTCAGGAGACGCGCCTGCGTATTGGGCAGACAGAGCGGGGGTTGGAGGCGGGGGCATGAGGGACCAGGGAGTAAATTCGGTGTACGCTTGCGCGGCTCCAAGGGGAGGGGGCCAGTAGAGGTGAACTCCAGGGAATTCTCGAGGTCCGGTCTGCGGGTGCTGATTTTCGTCCTGCGCTTCGGACGTCAGTCTCATACGCAGGGGACGTACGTTCTCGTTTTAGTGCCTGTTAATTAATGCGGGATATATTTACCTCTATGCAGCCAGTCGAGGGAAAGCAAATTCTCTAAAAGCGAGTTTAGGACTTTGCCCAAAATATCTCAAGGTACACGTATGTCCATCTCTTACGCAGAGGTTGTTCAATCCTGAGAGAAGGGTAAACATTTTTATTAACATTTTACAAAAGAAGAAACTTTCTATTAATTTCTCCCGCTGAATGGCACTTTGGGGACTTGCTAAGTGTCACAGACTGTGCTAAGTGCTCTGTGTGCATATCTCATTTAATTTCCCCACAACCCTATGATGTTGACTCAAATATAACACAAGGGAAATCTAGATACAAAGAGAACAAGTAATTTGTGCAAGGTCATGGAGCTAGTAAATGACAGACAAGCTTTTAAACCTGGAGTCTCTTCCTACTCCCAAAGCCATGTACTCTTAGCCAAACAGCTATAATATCTAAAGTTGCTTGGAAAGGCTGGGTGGAGTGATGCATTTTGGTTGCTTCTTATGAATAAGAATATGCAGGTTTGCAACTGGAGATTTGAAGCCAGGTGCATTGGCTTTAAACCCAGCACTTGGGAGGCAGAGGCAGGAGAATTTTTGCATAAGGCTAGCCTGGTCTACAGAGCTAGTTTCAGGACAGCTAGGGTTACTCAGAGAAACCCTGTCTTGAAAAAGGAAGAGCTGGGAGGGTGTGGTGCAGAGGGAGGCAGAGGCAGTCCAATCTCTGTGAGTTTGAGGCCAGCCTGGTCTACAGAGTGAGTGCCAGGATAGGCTTCAAAGAAAAAAAAAGAGGGAGGGAGAAAAGAAAGAAGGAAGAAAAAGAAATTGGGGGTTTTGAGAAGTGGAGCTGGAGAGTGTGTATAGAGGGCATGCCAGTTTGGAGACATATTAATTAATATCACCTATTGTATAGACGCCATATTCCTCCAAATGCCATAGCTTGGTTAATTCAAGCAATCTGGTAAAGTAGGAGCCTTTATGTGTCTTTTATAGGTGAAAAATTGATGGGCTGGAGAGAGGGCTTAGCAGTTAAGAGTACTGGTTGCTCTTCTAGAGGACCCAGGTTCAATTCCTAGCACCCACATGGCAGCTCACAACTGTCTGTGACTCCAGTTCTGGGGGATCTGACCCCTTCACACAGATACACATGTGGGCAAAACACCAATGCACATAAACTAAAGATAAATAAATCATTTAAAAAGATGAAAATTGAATGTCAGGAGTTTTAAACGATCCATTCAGGTCTGTAGTGACCTTTTTTCACCTTCCCCCCATTTCAAACGTCCTACCTCTTCTTCTCTATACCACTAAAATACAGAGATGGCATATTTCAAGTTTCTAGGTAATGTACCAAACTGCCTCATACCTGGCAGCAGCACAGAATTTGTGCCATTAAGACTATAGAGTAGCGCATTTGTTCCCTAATAGAATGAGTACTGTGGGCCAGGTGGCAGGCTTCCTATGCCTTCTGCTGCACTGGAGCTTTATTGCTTCATCAGAATTAAAGATGAATGATGTGACTGGGAAAACAGACAGAGCCTGGAATTTAGAATGAGCCTTGCATCAGCAGCACAGTGGTAATAAGCAAAATATTTAGGTATGTGAGGGAGAGAGAAATCTTTTCTATAAGAGAGATTGTTCAAATATCCAGGAATTGGTGTTTTTAATGTTATTTTTTCCATTATATTCAATAGCTTGATTATTTTGGAATTGAAAAGTCAGTTGTAACATTATCTATAAGAGACAAGTGTAGCTTTTTGCTGTGTAGAGAACTTTATTTTAGCCCGAGACTAGGATAAAAGATAGAATCTTAAAATATTTAATAATAATCGCTGGTTTTCCTGATGCTATTAAACATATCATAGCAACAATGAGGGTGAATGACCTTAAACCTGAGATCAACTTCAATATATTTTATGCTTGTTCTTTTTACACAGACCAGTATTAAATATTTCCCAAACATCTTATCTATAAAGAGTCCAGCAGATCAATATCTAGACGGAATAATACTATTTTGCTGATTACTGCTCCAGTGGTAGCTTCTCTTTTTCACTACTCAAGATTAGTCTAGAAAGGAATAACTGACAGAAAGGGAAAGGAGGGAGAGTTAGATTTTGTGGTAAATGCAGTAAGACATTGGAACTATTGTAAAACTAGGAAATAGTGGCTAGGGGAGATGGACAGGAAGAAGGGAGAGAGGGGTGGGGAAAGTTCAGAGATGTAGTTTAGTTGGTAGAGTGCTTGCCTATCAAGCAGGAAAATGCTAGTTCTAATCTCCAGCACAGAGTAACCTGGGAATGGGGGTGTATATTTGTAATCCCCAAAGTCGGGAGGTGGAGGCAAAAGGATCAGAAGTTCAAGTTCATCCTTGGCTACACAGTAAGTATGAGGTCAGCCTTGGACACTATCTCAAACAAAATAAAACAAAACAAACTAAATAAATTGGAAAGAGGCTGCTGACATTTAGTCAGAAGTCAAAAGGACAAAGTAGTTTAGAGGAGTGCTGCATTTCGCCAAGTGTGCAAGCACAAGCTCATCAGCTCATCTGTTTTCCTGCAAATACATGGTGCTGAAAAAACATGTGTGATTGCAAAGGTAATCACTTCTGCCAGGAGGATTTAGCCTGGGAAAGCTGCGAAAAAACACGTTTTGTGTATTCACTGTCAGTGAACACATGAAGCATGATGGCTTTTAAATGATAAGTTAGCTTTCAGGATAGTTAATTGGGGGAGTAGATAGAGAGGAAAGCAGGCGCTGTAAGGTTTTGTTTACCTAATGTGCTAAGGAGGTCATGAGGGCAGTTTTCTCATCTAATAGATGGAAGCCTGAGGCACAAAGTCTCAGGTTTAATGGTCTGAGAGAGTTTCACAGTTTAAAAACATAGCTTTGTTTATTTGTTAACATATGCAATTCAGTGATATTAGTCAATTTACAGAATTGTGCAGTCATCACCATAAACTAACTCTATAATATGTCCATTGCCTCATTTCAATACCCCCATTTGAATTCCTAATCCTATGTAATTATCAGTCTGTGTTGTGAGTTAGTATTTCTTTAGCAGGACTTTTCAAATAAATTGTATTATACAATATGTTGTCTCTGACACCTTCTTTTGCTTAATGTATCTTTGAGGTTCATCGTATCGTGTCATTTATTACTACTTCATTCCTTTTAATGGACAAATAATATTTCATTGTGCAGTATTTGCTTATTCATTCACTTGGTGATGACATTTGAATTCCTTTTGCATTTTGCATATTGTGAAAATGATGTTATGGACATTCATATGTCTCTATGAAACATCTTTTAATTTTTCTTTTCTTTCTTTTTTTTCTTTTTTCTTTTTTGAGACGTGGTTTTTCTGTGTAACAGCCCTGGCTGTCCTGGAACTCACTTTGTAGACCAGGCTAGCCTCGAACTCCTAGCCTCTGCCTCCCAAGTGCTGGGATTACAGGCATATGCCACCAGTACATGGTTTAATTTTTTTCTTGAATAGATATGTTTCACAGGCATTCTGGGACACATACTTAAGACTGAACATTGGGGCTGGAGAGATGGTTCAGAGGTTAAGAGCAGATAAGATATGAATTTGGTTCTCAACACCCATTATTTGGAGATTACACAGCTTGTAACTCCAGCTCCAAGAGATTAGATGCCTTTAGCCTCGGTGGGCACCTGCACACATGTGCACACACAAAGTTAATGATAAGATCATTTTTTCTTTTCTTTTCTTTTCTTTTCTTTTTTTTTTTTTTTTTTTTTT